TTTTTTGATTACCGTAAGCCCAAAAATATTAAATACAAAGTAAGGAAGATTATTCCTTACCAAAGAGAAAAAAAAAATGAAATTTGTCATCAACATAATTTATTCTTCTTACCAAATAATAAAATTTACTATAAAACAAAAAAAAAAATATATCATAATAGATGATGACTTAGTGTGTAGACTCAATCGTCCCATAATTATTATTTCTTTCGATTTCGATTATTTTACAATGATTGGTATTTTTTTTTTTTTAAAAAAAAAAAAGAGGAGAAAATTTACAGCTTATCGTTTATATCATCCCATTTTCATGTTCAATTGGCCAAGACTTTTTCCTAATTCGGTTGTTGGCGTTGTGGTAGAATTGTTACTACCATTTGCTGGTGGTGATTTTGAACCATGATCTGTCTTATCTCCATTCATTTGTGGGCTACTGGAATGATGACTATTAGAATCTTGTACGGAACCATCTCTAGTACCTCGTCCATTTGCATGGGTTAATCCATTACTATGATGTTGTTCACTATCAGAATGATATCCACCATGATGTGCTGACGCGGTATTAGCGGGATGACCATTATGATACATATTTTGGAATCCTTCTACATATTCTTGTGAATGATAGGCTGGTGAGGTTAGAGGATGATCGGGAAGTTCTGATGACTGTGGAATTTCAATTTTCATAAAAGGTTTACTTCCAGGTGCTGAAACGTTAGTGGCTCCTGTAGTAGGGATCTGACGGGATTCAAAACTTGTGAATGCTGAATTATGGGCATTAGATGTCGTAACTATAAAAAATTATTATTAAAAAGTATTATAAGTAAGTTTTATAAAACTAAAATTTTTTTAAAAAATATATTTAATATATTTTATTATATTTTAAATATTTGCAATATTTACCTTCCATACTGTGCATATCGATTTGCGGATGTTGACCTTGATGTTGCATAGAATTTAATTTTTGATCATGAGATTCGTTAACCATATTATTAGGATCATACATTTCATGATTTGGATTTTCACCTGTTTCTGAGATACTCGGCACCATATAAGAAGGATGAGGATGTTGAGGATGGAATCCTTGAGTTGGTCCATTTGGCATCATTAGTAACCCGTCATTTCTCATTGGTCCTGCTGTTACTGGTGGAAAACCACTAAAAGGTTGAGTATATTGTCCATATGGGCCAGGGAAAGGACCACCGCTAAAATCTGGTGCCATTACTGGACCTCCACTAGGATTTGAAGGGTGAGCAAATCCCATATGACGATCATTTGGGAATGCTGGATTCATTGCCATTGGATTATACCTATCATGATTATCAGCATAATGACCAGGACTTCTTCCTCGTACTACCAATGGAGCCGAAGTTGATGTAGCAACTCTGAAAGGTTGTTCAAATCCGTCAACTTGAGCATAAAGATCTACCATGACCACATAGTATTGTTGAGCGGCACGACGTTTTCCATTATTTGCAGTGGCGGTCTTAAATTGAATACGCTCGAATGTAACAATATTAGAATTGGATCCAACTGAACTTAAATTTAAATTGCCACCTGGACGAATTGGTTTTGGTACTGGAACCATTTGAGGTCCTTTATCACGTTTCGGTGTGTGCTGTACTAATTCGATCTTCTTATCACTATTGGAGACTCGCGCTGTAATTCCTAATAAAAATTGACTGATTGGATGAAATTGACCTTCAACTTCAATTAAACATGCTACTTCTGTTTCATTAACAGGATGTGTCATTCCTTGAATAGAGAATGCACTACTAATTTGAAAATAATTTCTTCTATAGCATGTCCAATCACTATCAGCCAAGAAAAAGCCACGATCAACTTTTGAATTAATTCGAAGTTTAAGACTGTTTGTGTAACAATTATGTAATATGTTCACATGGGTTGAAAGGGATGACAGGGAAATAAGGGAAAGAGGAGATCAAAAAATTAATAATTTAAAGTTAATTGACAATGCAGGAGATGGTAGTAAAAAATCAATCCCATCTAATATTATAGAATGAATTGATATCCTAGATCAGTGACTACCTTTGAAACTGGGAATGTGTTGTATCAATATAAACTGGGCTGGGAAAAAAAGGAAACATGGTTGTTTACAGGGAGAAATGTACATATATATATATATTATATAACCCCTTGCCCGCCAAAAAAAAAAAATTTTTTTTTTTTTGTTAAATAAAATAATCCTGGAAAGGAAGTGAAGGATAATAAAAGAATAGAGCTTATAGGACGAAGAGTTTCTAAAGACTTTTGTAAAAAGTATGTGTAAGGTAACACGCGGCGGGAAACCATTAACTTGCATACAAACCAAAATCAGTTTGTATACTTTGTACAAAATAGAACGCGGTACTAATATACTATGCTCGTTGTAATAATAACTGTAAAACGATACGCGGTAACCAACCAAACGTATAAAAAGTGGTGTGATATTATAACAATAAATGGCAATCTATTACTTACATTTGTTGGGGATGCATTTGATTTGGAGGTTGACCGTCATATTGAAAGGGTTGGATAAAATTTTCTGGTGGCATGCCGTTCATTTGTGGAGACATAGCAGGATGAGGATGGTGAGGTGAAGGAGGAACTTGATTTTGTTGTTGTAAAGACCACTTATCCTCTGTAATATTCATGGTATATATTCAAGAAACGTACGTAATACGTAGACAACGTTAAGAAAAGGTTTTACAAAATAAAGATGAGCCTAAAGTTTCCCCAGAGCTTTTTTTTTTTTTTAAAAAAAAAAAAAAAATACGTGGTAAGGTTATATATATTAAAAGTATTAAGTATAGAAAAGTTATAGATTGAAACCGTGTTCAAAACGTGTTTTAGAGATGGTAAAGAAGTATTGAAAAAACAAAGAAAAGAAAAAAAAAAATGATTAAAAAGAAATCTCGAAAGGTTTATAAATTAATTTTCGAATTAATTCGAATTAATTAGGAATTGTTGAATGAAAAGATTTTAAAATAAGGGAAAATTAATCAAATTAAATTAATAATTAAAAAACTATAAATGAATTATAAAGAATTGAAAGAAAAGGATAAAAGACATAAAATAAAAAAAAATAAATAAAATTGAAAGGGAATAATAAATTTTTCTTTTTTTTTTTTATTTTTTCAATTACTTACAAAACCAAGATACTACCAAACTATTAGGAAAATAGGATTGAGTTTGTACCTGGATCCCTTGGAGCAGGGAAAAAAAAAAAAAAGTGGTCCAATGTTACTCACCTTTTGTAGGCGCACAAGTTGACCTTTTTTGCTCAAGAACTCTGGAGAGTTATTTTGACGAAAAAAATCCCCGAGCACTAAATCTCACACTATATATGTTGATATTGTAAAGGTTAATTTGATTAACTAATTAACCAATAAAAAATTGATAAACCGGCAATTTATTGGAAAAATTTTTGGGGATTTTATAAAATAAAAACAGACGATCTGATTGGTCATTTAAGAGAACCCCTAATTTTCTTTAATCAAGTTCCAAACAGGTTTTTGCATTGATACACAAGAAAATCAAAAAAAAAAATCTCTTTTGATTAGCATTTATACTTGAATGAAAAAAATATACATATTATGTATAATATATATATTATACATTTTATATTAAAAAAAATAAATTAAATATAAATAATTTATATATATAAAAAAAAAATATAATATATATATATATATACACGTATACATATATACATATATATATACATATATATATACACACACATACATTACATACACACGAGAGCATCGTTTTGGAGCTAATTAAAAACGGTAAAAATTAAAGCCAGTACGACATATAATTTTTATGATAGACCAAGCGTGAATTATTTTATTGCATAAAAATAATATAAAATAAAAATAAAAATAAAAGAAATAAATTGATTTTTAATTAAATTTAATAAAATAAAAATAAACTAATAAATAATAAATTTATTTATGTTTATTTTCATTGATAATAAAATTGAATTTAAATTTTGTATAATTAAAATAGAAAGTATCGACAAAATGTTGTGGTGGTTCAATGATTGACTAGTGTTTATAATTGTTTATGTTCATTTAATTTCTAGAGAGACAGATGGAAATATCAACAATTAGGTATACGGAAACACAAACCGGTTTCCAAAAACGGTATTAAACAGATAACAAATCGGTATGATAAATGAGACCCTTGTAGGCAAGTACAATATTAAAAAGAAATGCCCTTGTGTTCTATAACATATTATTCCTATACTACAAAAAAGGGAAAATGCAGGTCGGTCAAGTGCGGGACTTGTGCACATGTAATCGATTTCAGGTGCGGGTAACATCCAAAAAATATTCGCACAAGATACCGTTTTTAGTTGTTTTTTAGTCAAAAAGTGTTTAAGTTAAAAAAATGATAGTCAAAGTGTAAAAAAATTAACAAAGCTAACTTTAATAACTGATAAACTATTATGATAAAATGGTTCACTTTTTTGAGAATTATACCGCGCTAATCCACATCTGTTCAATCAGTGATTTCATCTAAAATCTAATCCGTTAAAAAAAAAAAAAAATTCTAAGGGGTCTTTTTTTTCATCTTTTTTTCTTTTTTTTTTCCTTTTTTT